ATATTATATATATATATACATATAGATAGATAATCTCTGATGACAACACAACGGTGAAATAGCTCTATATGTGATCAGTTTGCGGTGACCGTGTGTCGGATTCAGTGTTTCAGAGACTATAGTAGCTCCTCCATAGCGTCGCTAGATGATGCTTTAATGAAGGCGTCAGATACAACTCCCGAAACACCTATTGCTTCCGACTTTCAAGCTCCAGATTATGCGGTACAGTTGTGATAATGATGCTGATTGTAGAAACAGAAGTTCTCCCTTTTAAGCATACCGTAGATGTTGATGTCGACACCACAGAGTCGCCTTGGGACACGATCTCTGTAGAAAGTTGCGCTTCTGAACCCGTTATGCGCGGTTCATCTGGAATCAGTTACCGCTTGAGACAGTGGGTGAAAAGACCAGGGCGCAGACGTCAGGTGTGTTTCAAACGATTTTTCGACGCAACTTAATTAAACGACAAATTTATCTGCTGAAATCTGTGTGTGTGTTTTTTTTTGGTCTTTGAAAGCGTACTTGGGGTTTTATTGTTATTAGCTTTTACAACAATTTTTGGACCACTAAAGAGAGTCATCAGCACTAATTTATCAACCAGCCATATGTAATCGAACGTAGCATCGGATATTGTTGTTTAGATGCGTGCCCATCCAGACGACCCTTCTGCATCGACTATGAGCGAGCCATGGGATGAGAAGAAAGAACGAATACGACAGGTAATTTTAAGTTATGCTGCATAAGGAATTGCGAATACACGTGGCGGACACTACTACTCATTGAACTTTGGTTATTTCGATAGACATGTAGCGTTTCATAGATAAATACCTTCCGGCAACTTTCTACCCTCAGTCATATAAGTGTAGCGCATGTAATTCGATACATTCGGTAATTTACTCAGTTCAGCATGTGAAAAAGTAGTTTATCTTGATTTTATCTCTTTGTTAATTTACACCTGGAGGCTTTCTCAAATTGGCTGATAGCGCCGTGCTAATTTCAACTTGATTTGATTTGGTCAAACTGCTGGAAGATTCGAACTTTTTGGAACGTAATTCAAAGTCAAGAAATGGATGTTGGGAGAAGTACTGTTGCTGCCTTTCAACTATTTTCTAATTAAACATCATTGGCAAACACCTGTCGATCTGTCTCTATCTACGGTTGTTCTCGCACATGTAATTATAGAAGATATCACAAAGAAACGCAGTAGATAAATAATTCAGTTCAGGCAAGTCCTTATGGACGATTGCTAGGATGGGATCTCCTTCCTGTAATCGTAAAAAGCGGAGACGATTTGTTGCAGGAGTTACTAGCATATCAACTTTTAGTAACACTTAAGGTACCTTTAAAAAACTTCATTTTTGATCACTTATTGTCATGGTATGTACATTGAAGGAAATATGGGAGGAAGAAGATGTGCCGTTATATTTGCGACCATACAAAATAGTGGTTACATCGCCGGACTCAGGGATGATTGAGCCCATACTAGACGCTTGCTCATTGCATCAGGTAGTTTGCTGATCCTTATCACGTCGGACCGTCATGGCTCGCAAAACCATATTTAAGCAATATCGTTCTTTACAAATAGGAACTTTTGTATTATAGATCAAACGCAATCAGAGTGCTTTGTATCGGGAAGAAGGAAAAACTGACGAACCATCTCTAGAGGCTCATTTTGTCGAGACATTTGGACCGAAAGGTTCTTCAACATACCTTCAGTATGTAATTTTTCTCCATAATCTTAATCTGGTCATTACACATGTACTTGTCAATTTATTTGAGGGCACAGCAGAATTTTGTGCACAGTTGCGCAGCCTACTCCCTCGTTTGCTACTTTTTACAAGTGAAAGACAGGTGAGATTTTTATGCCTTTTATGTGGCTGGACCGATTTCACATCATTAATTTTCAGGCACAATGGTAATATTCTGATTGACGCCGATGGTCATTTGATACATATAGACTTCGGCTTCATTCTCTCAATATCCCCAAGAAATCTCGGTTTTGAGACTTCGCCATTCAAACTCACATCAGAACTGAGTTCGTGTTGTAGCGATCAGTAAGAGTTTGTAACCCATCAATCAGACATGT